ATTAAAATTAAACAAGCGTATCGATTAGCTAACTTGGTCTATAAGTTTTTCGAGGAATTTCGAAAAATCAGAGCCAGTAGTATAACTCTCCTAACTTCGAATACTGTTGCACCTGTTTCTTTGATTTCAGGCTTGATCAACAGTAGACAGCTCCGGGGCTGCAAACAAGAATGGAGTAACCGTTGACGACGCAGTGGCCGAGCTTCCGTTCTGGCCCCGAACAATCGGCCTGGCTCAATGAGGTAACCTAAGACCACTCTTATTGTTTGTATAGCTAAAGGGTCTCCTTGATCATATAAGAAAGCACGGATTTGGAACTAATCGTAAAGCTAACTAAGATAGAGGCAATGAGGTCTAGAATTAAAGACAGGACATAGGCCGATTTTTGCCTATGCCAAGTACTTTCCATACATGGAGCTGCTTTTCTCCGTGGACGGCAAGATCTTACCATGATAAACTTCTGTGAAGAACAATTAAATCTCATCAAAGCTTCCTTTCTCAACAAAGCATTGAGTCTGTAGATGGCTATTGGAAATCGTTTCGCGTATTTCACTTCTGCTATCCGAGGACCTCTATGTTTCGAGTTTTACGTGTGGCATCGCCGTTAGATGTTCCTTGAAACGGCTGGCCCCTGTACGAAACGAAGTGTTTATGCCCAGATTCAGCGTGTCCCTAAGGTTAATATGCAAATACGTTACCCGCTATACTACTACGAAGATCATCGGAGGACCTACATCGTCGCCTTGAACGCCCAGCGGTGGAAACTTTTAAGACAAGCCTTAGGAACTAAGAGCAAAAATTTGCGGAAGTTGATTTGTTCTGGGTATGATCTACGGAACTAAAAGTGGAAAGAGACAAATCGGCTAGATCAATATGTTTATAACCTGCTTTTCCCAGCACCTGATACGCCTGAAGGACATTTCGAAAATCCCCCAAATAGTTTTATAAACATGACAAGACTCGTACAACTCATATGACACAAGCTGTTTCAAATCATTTTATACACCCTCTCTGATATTGGTATATTTTGTTGTTGACGTGAACCTTTACAATCTTCTTTATAAAGTTTTGCTCTATTACCAGCAAAGGGGAATAAATAAAATTTAGCTGGCATTTTTCTTCGAGACGGCTTCATTGAACTTCATTGTCTCGTGGGTTGCGACACGTCCGTCCCACAAGTGTAAATATATCCCATTTTCACCCACTTTAAACCATTATAAACACCAATATGCTTTTATTATTATTATTATTATTAGATATACTTAGCTGGCAAATATTTAAAGAAATGATAATAACGATACCAACAGACATTTTTGTTAAAATTTCCCATGCATTATGAAGTCAGTTGTATTTTGCAGTAAGCATCTACTTCAAGCAGTTGTTACTACTACTACCAGCTGTAGGTGCATCAAAAAAAAAGGCGAGTGTTACATTTCAGGTTTGTATCCTTCAAAGCCTAGTCTGAAATCTTTGATAAAGCCTCATTTGAGCCTCAGATTTGCTCCGGTTTGATTGATCGCCCTGAAAATTAGTGGCAAATCCGACCAAAATAGAAATATATATCGCGTTGAATGGAGCAGGTGTTGCTAAAATGAATGAAGGATTACATCTGTTCGTCCTCCTCTTTCTTCTCCGCTGTTTTGGCTGATCGGAATGAAAACTTTCAATGGCAGCGTATCCCCAAATTCTAGAAGACCAAACCTGTAAAAATCCTAACATCGTTTAGAAGACAAATGGGTTAGCCCATGATAGGATTGAAGGTAATAAGGGCTATGCTAACGCCGTGGCCGATTCAGAGGCTTCGTAACAATAGTAGCGGCAGACGACAGCAAAAGATTAATGGTCTGTAGCACCAATGGTGTCAGATCGCCCTACTCTAGTGGCAGGATACCACCTGGAGTTCTCACACCGCGTAAGGCTCAGATGTACACACGGCCTACAGCTGGAACACATGGGAAAAGCCCCTGGGTGCGAAAACCGAATGCATCACTGCAGGACACGTGCGAGGAACGAGCAGGCACTGGTATTGCACTTGTATAAAAACAGACCCTTTACCATAATACGCACTGCATGTGTGGAAACGAGATAGCTTACTGCTGGCGTTTATACCGAAATAAAGGTAGAACTCCCAAAGGATCGTGTGAACGAGAACTAATCAATTAGCTAGACGAGAAATGATGAGCAGATTATAGAATGCGCAAAAATTATTTTTATATTATATATAAAATTATATATTATAAAAAAGGTATTACTCTAACTGTATGAAAGCAAATTGTAATTATTTCACATAGACGTTTCCCTTTTCAGCTGAGTAATTACACGTGACTCATATATATATATATTATATTTAAAACGTTATATTTAAAATTCAAAGCCTTTGAAGCTAAATAAGGATGTTTTTTGCTAACGTAATTTGGCAACTTTTAGCATTTTTAATAATAGAAACTTTTTGAACATTTGTTTACTACATCTTCGTAAATTAATTTGTTCAGGTATCGTAAACACCCAACTCTTTGCTGCCAGTCGTAGAGCGTATATTCTAATTTGATTAGCTAAGAGCTTCATTTAACTATGTCGTTTTAGGTCCGATATCGCCGCTGGCCGTTCCATCAGACGGCAGTACGAAATTGAGCCTGTCTATGCCAGGGTTCGAACCTGTACCACAACGTTTCTAGATTAGTAGGCAAATACGTTACCCACTAAGTTACCACAAGGACTTTAGTCTGCATTGACCAATATAAAAAATCAGTGCGTCGATTAATAGTTCTATATTAAATGTCCTGAACACGTCCTGAATCTGTATGTCCTGTCACGTTAATAGATGAGCATATCAGGCATAAGTTTATTTCTTCCTCTTCTTTTTCTATCAAGCCTTTATTTATTCATTTCTATATTTAATAAAGCATAGCTTCGAATAAGCTACAGCGTATGCTATACGTTTACGGGCAACATCCTTATATATATATTTTTTTTTATTATAACTAGGGAGATTCCATAGAAGATGGTACTCTAACATCTTGTAGAGTGGATTTCATGTCATGCGATAAGGGGCGTTGCATTACGTAAAGAGTGAAATAGATGATAGAGTTAATCAAGTTCAATGCCTTCAAAAAGGTTTTATATTTAACGTTCGACCGCCAATGGTCTAAGAAAGTATTTTTCTCATTGAGACAAGCTGTCAGTTTGCCTATGAAACGGTCATAAAACATTATTATCTACCTAATATTTACATTACAAACGTAACGTTCATGTTAACCTTCAAAATGGCGCTTTGGTATAACGCAATCACGGTGTAGCTGGGAGGAAAGACAAAATGTATTATAGTGAAAAAAACAAATTATTCAAAGGTAGTATGGCGAATAAAAACATCTGGCACGTCATCAGCGGGGCATCCTGCTGTCAGCCCCCGTAGCATGCTAACAGTTACAACAACAAAGTTCTTGAGGAGTTTGAAGGAAGTCTAGGTCCGCCCGTAAGGGAGGACAATATCTTCGTAAATGGCTTTTCTCTGCAATTTTAAGTCAACTTTCCAACCACAATCGAGATCAACATTTTGTGCGGAAAGAATTAAAAAGGTCGTGACCTGCGGAAAACAAACATTGACAGCATTCTCTCGTGATTAATGTAGATTACTGATTAGCTCTAGTAACAATGACATTCCTATAATGTATGAAGTGGGCCTAGGCAAAACATGACAATTTCCACGTTTGACGTCACTGATTTTTCGAGGAAAATAGGATTTGCGTAAGAATATTGAGTAGATGGACCAATTTCAGGCTTATGGCGTTCGAAGCACAAGATAATGATCAAGAACGAACGGAACAAGCCGATTACGATCGATTAACTGAAGCAATCTTAACTAAGGTGGCACAGTCTCAGGGATCGACCAGCATAAGTGCAGTAAAGTAACCGAATAGAAAGAACAATAAATACAGTCAGTTAAATTAGATAGACCGCTGGGAAAGCTATGGTGGGAACACTCTGAACGGAAAACAACAACAACAATGTGAAACACGCTAATTCAACTACATCTGTGGTCACTGTGGATCACATTTAGTATGGGCTAACTAGTCCCTTAACGACATTGTAGTAACCCGATAATAAACCAATATCGAGGGTCTAGGGTGCTGTTTTTTCCGGGAGTGATAAAATACATGTTCGCCGTTCACAGGTTTCATTTGATTTGAACCTGAAAACAACTCACAAAGAATGATCCTCTAAACTCTACTAGAGGACACCAATAAGTTTTAAGGCTTTAACGAACGAAGGTATAAGGCTACGGGATTTATCAGATGTGTACTATTATATTTTCCCGCAGTATACATACCTACTTGTATTTAAGATATGCGTCTATAATCGCTAATCAGGCGAACATTCTAATTCCGCAGAGTTCTATCAACGTTGATTGCTTTACTGTTGAGTGGATACATACGGCCATCCTGCTCGAGTGAATTAATCAATAATGAAATCCCTATCGCGACACCTATTATACCTGAGTGAACTTTATATAATGTTGTACTATATATGAAAAGTCACTAGATACATCTCTACATTTTTTTTTTTAAATATTTACATCAATACATATCGAGTAAATACGTACTGCGGAAAAAAATCCTTATTGTACTTTGGGTGGGTATTGAAAAGGCTGTAGAAGCCATATCGCATATTGCAGTTTCCTTCTTCGGGCAGGAAATTTCTCTGACAAATTCTTGCCTTCATAGGTGTGAAGCGACAAGGTCACCAAAGGTCGCATTCTTTTACATGTTGACCGTCGTCGTTCACACACTAAGCCATCTCTGTCCACACAAGAAGCGTACGTCTAACCTGTACACAGATCGATGGCCCTCCTCCTCATCCTTGCACACGAGAGAAAGGGTTATTATATTACCCTCTTCCTTAGACGGACCACGTGCTCGTGATCCGCGCGGATTGGTGGATCTGGTGAGGGATCGAAGGTTAGTGCCGAAGTGCTCCTTTTCAGTCGTTCTCCAACGCCGGCAGCGAAGAGCCACGCAGCTCCATCGTCCAAAGGATGAGTCAAAGTGGCCCGTCTTCGCTCAGCAGCTCTGGTAGCTTCACGGCGGAAAGCGAAAGCTTCTCCGTGTCGACGACAAGAAACGCTCATCTGGGAAGACAAACATAAACATCTGTTATTGTGCTCTTCTGTGAAGTGTGCCTTCATGTTGGATAGCAGGGAAAACCAGTTTCTCTTACTCGATATCGTCACACAGAAGATTTAGATGTGTAGTTTAACATGCGGTACCAAATGTGGTGAGCACCGATAAATTGATGTCAGCATGAGGGGAGGGACCCCCGAATGAGGAAAGCTGGTAGAAGTCTGTGAGAGTCGGTTTGTTGGTGGAATCCGTGAACCAGCGGTTGGGTTTGTTTTGGTAAGGTTACGGGTGTCGGTCAGTTTTCTGGAGGAAAAGTCTACCACTGGAGAAGAAGCCTGCTTAAGCGCCGCGCGTATCGCTAGCGACAGACGAGCATCGAAAGCTCGTGCCATGTATCGGTCATTCTGACTGTCCAGTGTTAAAGCTGACAGTTGTTGGCCCGCCACAGCTACACTGGTTGAGAGTCCGTAATGAGACGGACAGTTAAACGATTTTGAAATAGCCCCAACGTGAGAAGAAGAAGCAGCGAACCGATCCTTTCAGAAAAACCTCTGGGCAACAGAATTTGAATTTGTTTGCTGGTTGTTTCTTCAGATTACTTTGTTTATCGGTCGGTTGATGTAGATGGGCCTTCCATGTCTATCTGCATGTGTCTGACCCACAACGCCATTCGCGAGAAATGGCCCCCTTTTTAATTTGAACTTGGCAGCGCCAACGATGTCCCCCCGACTTACGGAAAGATACCGCTGGACGTAGGCTACCCGGACAGTAACGGTAATGGTCCTAGCAGCGGGAGGACAACTAGAATCTATTCGAAGCCATCACAGTCTGGCGAGTCATCTCCGTCGTATTAAACGCTGAATGTGACGTACGTTATCGCTGATTTGTAGTACTGTTCCGACCATTGCAAAGGCTGAGAAAAATAGGATGAAGTATAAAAAGCGGTAACAATAAAGAGATGGCAATTTACTGACAGGAGATCAAAAATGCGTGTCAAAACACCAACAACTGCACGGAACAGCCAATAAATGACTGGTGTGACCGGTTAGATATAAGTGGCTAAACCCATTGTGCCTTGTCACAAGTAACTTGCAGCAAGGTCGAGCTGGGTCGAAGGCACGCGAAATACAAATCTGTGCTATTTATACGTGACCATTATATCATCTCTACGTTTTCTGTAATATAAATAAAAAGTCATAAAGCGATTAAGATAAACGAGTACCACAAACCGGAAGCAAAAACAACATTTTTTCGGGATCAAGATTCATACGACAATGTGTGTTGCGACGTCGATACGAAATCGGGAGAACGTAATATGTCCGTTATCAGCAATCGTCAGCGAAACGCAATAATTGTTACTATTCATAGGGAAATTTTATCTGAAGCGTATATAAATGTGCTAAGTCGCTATATATTAAAAATCGTATAAAGGATGTATACACTTGCTCCATGGATCAAAGAGACGCAGTCATAATGTAGTGGGCAGAAAGAGTGACTAGAAAATCGAATTAGGCAAAAAAAACGTCGTCTTCCTGTTTTCGTCTGACCTGATTCGGTACCTGTCAACTGTCAAGCCCGAGCGTTGTTTCTTCTTTAACCAGAATTAAGTGAAATTAAGATGGAACCGTTTTGTCATGATGAATCCCCTATATAACAAATATCAAAAAATCACTGAAGTCGAAGTGACAATTTGCTGTCTGGCAAAAAGTACGCAACATGTGACACGCAAACAAGGATCGTTTCCTAGTGCTGGCAGCTACCGCCGTGACATCATTCGACGAACCAAACGGATGCCCGTATGTGTTTCGTATGCGTGTGATCGTTGCATAGGCAAATCATGTAGTAACTCATAGGGAAGAACGGGAAACAGGGTTTATAGCTGTTCTATTAAGTCATCATCGATTGTTCATATGAAAGATTGATGCCCATAACACCCGTTGACAACGCTGAAATGATGAAACTTTCAAAAACCGTCCCAGCGCAGCACACGTTGCAGAGACAGGTAACTATTATTAGGACACGCATTACCCTCGGATGAGTCGCTTGTCCCATGCACCTAGTGCCTGTACATTTCTCAAAATCTCATAAATCGAATAACACCTGCGACCAGATGGACCATAAAAGCTAACACTAAACATAGTAGAATCTGATTGCTGAGAACACAGACCGCTCCGTCAATACCGGAACGGTACAGCTCAAATTGATTTGTAAGTCGCGGATTCGATGTACTGTATACTTGACAAAGTTAAGCTGCAAAATGCCAAAATTTGTCATAACCGTCTGTGTATTTGTCCGGAAGGCGAAATTCGTCTGCCTATCGTTCAAAAAATGCGATGCTTTTCTTCCTTGTGATTATATTTTTCTATTATTCTAATACTCAATGCACCCTAACACGTATCATAGTTAGGACACTATTTTTAAGACTTGTGAAGGCCTCTTAATAAGACCGTGCTGCTGATGTATTCCTGTTACTGCTAGAGCGGGTGTGTGCACGATCGATTCATCCAACCCAGTATTCAGCAGCCGCATGCATCGACGTGCAGCACCATGCCACGTGATCAAATATGCTTGGCCATATGAGAGAACCTCCTATTAATACAGTTAACTAAATAGTTCTAAACCACAATTTCCAAGATTATTTGCTGCTCGAAAATGAAATAGAAAACGTAATGAAAGACAGCATGGCCACTTCGAATCTAGTATTAGATTTGTATGCTTTCTAAAACTAGGTGCAGCCTACCGTGACAACACATAGACTGCGCTGGAACTGAACCTACAAACCTGTTTGTCGGTCCCGTTCGCAGTAGATGTAGCAGCAAGGAAACTAGGTACTAACCGTTGACGCTACACGATTTATCTTATTTTTATAAATTACGCGAGGTTTTACAGTTTTTAAAGACAATACAATTATTACATTCTAAACGATTGGTGATTGCAGATCTTTTCGAGCATTTTCTCTATATATGGAATTTTCATACGCTAGCAGTACTTTTGGCTGCTCGGACGCGTATTCCTATTAATGTTCAATACGTATGGATGCTCATCTAGTGCCGAGCAAGATTATTACAATAGACCCGAAGTAGCAGCACTTAATGCCTCGACTCCTGAATGTTCTTATGTGAAAGTTCATTTACCTCATTGGCATCGTCTGCTTGTAGCGGCTAGTGATCTTAAAGGGTCCAACATCAGTCAGAGCAGTAACAGCGATGTAAATTATAGACGTTAAATGCGGAGCGGCCTGCTACTTCAGCCAACGTTATAGCAACACGGTGATAGCTTCAAATATTCTTATTTTGCAAAGTGCTTCCCACAATAACTTTGTCAGCCGCGGCTTGTTCGCTGCCCCAGGGGAAAAATCCGACGAAGGCGAGACTCACAATAAGTGTAACAATATTTTCTTCCAGAAACCGTCTCGCCAGTTGCTGCTGATGCGACTGTGTGAGAACAGATGTCGAGAACAAATTCAAGGTACACGAATTGATCATTTATGTTGAACGTTTGTGCCCCTTTAATCAGAGAATAATAACGTTCCGAGAATAGAAACGTTTTTCTTCTCTGGTAAACTTTTGAACAGGATTACCTCGAAAAATAGTAGCAGCAAAAATCTATTGAAAGCACCGCAAAACGTCACGTATTTATCAATATCTGTCTTACAGGGAAATTAATAACAAGATGAATATCGGATGGGCATCTGTGCTAATTTAAAACTTCGTCTTGTTAGTAACCGCATCCGATCAAAATTTGCCAAAAAAATTGGGCTGAGCACATCTAAATTTGAGTTCGAGCTTAGATGCTGCATAAGTGTTTTTATGTATCTCTTCACGTGATTTCGATGAGCTTGTTTATAGAAAAACCCAGGTCTTCGTAAAGCTGTTAAGTTAGTCGAATTTCATTGTTTCGCTGCACCTGACGCCCATATCGCTCGTGAGTCTGTTGTCCTTCAACGATTGGGATACCGCTTGTTCATTACGTCGATTACTATCGTCATGCGTACATAGTTACCTGTATGGGTTTGTAGTGTTGACGACACCACAAGGTCTCCCTCGAAATCCGGCCATTACGTGCTTCAGTTATCAAGCGGCCTAGTTCTCAAGTAAGGCCATGCCTTCCAGGCATGCTTTGAGAGAAAGTTTGACGCAATAAAAATTATAACATTAACGAGCATAACCGAGATTAATGTCTCAGATGCAGAACAATTTTCCTCTTGTCACCGAAGAATACTCCGCTAACAAGACTAGTAATAATGTGGGCCGCTTTGGCTAGAGCTACGACCCCTAGCAACAGCAGAACTTGTAGTCAACAAAGTACATATATACAAATATGTATATACATTTGTTCCTCCCGTTTAGCAACGTCTGCTCTTCTGTTGTTTTTTCCTTTTTTGTCGCATAGGCAAAGCCATACCTAGCCCATCTACTGTATGTGAATCTTGGGTCTTGCTACGTCCTGTCAAATAGTTGCTTACGTAGACGCCCGTAACGTAAGTGAAGCGATCACGCATTCAGCTATTCGCACCGGTCTATAGCCAGCTATAGATGAACCTATTTGTATATGCTCATTGGATCTGCTATCAAACCTTGACAGAAAGCACTAAATGATGCCACCGAAAGTGGTAAAACACTATCGATGCTATATTTAGTTCTGTATAATGACTGTACAATGCAACAGACCCTCAGGGGGTACTCGCTGGATCGTTTATACAGTGGTGATATTTAGGCGAGCAGTGATCCTTCGGTACTTTCCATCGAAGTTCCACCAATAACATCTAGCGAGTTCGATTTGTTCGAGCTAACATGGACCCCAGGTAAGGGACGTCGTCGATTCTGTGTTTTAGATAGTTATTCAGTATTCAGATATTGTATCGAAAAAATGAGGGATATCAGGGATGAAAGTGTAGACATAATTGTCTTTTTACAAAAATAAGAATAAGAAAAAAAAAAGCAGAACATGTTCGTTCTACTGGCGAGTACAACATTGTCAAATCGCTCAATCCGACCTCAACAAAACCGTACGTCGACAGTCTTTCCGTCCACATATATGGCTCTAACAATATCGTTTCTAAACAAATCAGCAGTCCTTAATGATTATAGGTAAGTTAGCAAAAAACCTCACATACCTATTTTGTCTCCTATTTTGTATGTATCAGATCACATAATACCCATTTCAATTTCTGTAGCTGTAAAATTTATCCTTCGTTGTGGAAGTATGACAACAAGCTTTTCGAATAACCTATGTGCATGAAATTATTAGACCTTAATTGAATAATTAAGTTGAAACTGCTACAAATAAGGATGCGGATATGAGGCGATACATGCTCTGCCATTCTGCGGCATTGCTACTGCATTGTATGGCCAATTACTACGAGTATCAAGCGATTGGCTTCATTGAGATGCATGGGTGTCACATTGCGAGTTCTCACAATCATAGGTGGTAACTTCGTAATTATTTTAACTTCCAATTAACTTAACTTGGAGCATCAACTCTAATGTAATATAGGCACTGCACACGCACTCCAATCACATTCACTGGCCGCTCGATAATGACTGGTTCGAAATCCAACTTTTACTGCCTGACTTTAAATGTGGGCTTTGAGAGTTTGTTTCTGTCTAAGAGAAGGGCTTGAGCAGAGAAGCTTTCTTGAAAAAATCTCTCATTGAAGGATAATTACCAGCGAACTATTTAACTCACGGTTAGCAGAAATACTTAAATTCATTCAAGTCAGTGAGTCATCAGTGAAAACATACGAATCTTTCTTGCAGCTTCCTCGCGAAACCCCTTTTCTCATTCCAGACCTATTCTCTAGCTCTGTTATCCCAGAACCCTGTTGGAATATAATCGATCGTCTGCCCGTCGCAATGGAATATACAGAAGAGTGTCTGTCTGTAAATTACGGAAGCGTTGAAAACCATGCACGCATTTTACAGACGTATACGACTCGTACTCAATACAAAACGATTATTTATTTATTAGGATATTACTTATCCAAGTAAACGAGAAAACTGAAGTACCTTGAGTAATTTGACTCGTAAAGCATTTTCGTTTAAAACGCCTTCACTTAATGGTTTGGTAAGTAGTAACCTGCCTTAACTTACCTCAGACAGTTTCAGATAATAACTGCAGAGATAAGTGAGCGTTGTTTTAGGTTAAATAATTTTTCGAATTGCGCAAAAGAGAACCAACGTTGCGTTTCACTTAATGTGAATTGTTTGTTCATTAAAAAAACAACATGTATAGTGCTTCCTGCTATTCGTATTGAAGTAAATGATCGGTACGCTTGATACCCTTTAGCTTTTTAGTTACCGAATGAGCCCTTGTAACTCGTTTAGTGCTCCGAGAGACTAGGTTGCTCCTGTCAGTCAATTTTTTCATTAAAAGAAGACCATTTTAGAGATGTTTCATATTCCTCTTGACTCGTTAGGGCTGATGATTTTATAGAAAGAGTTCTTCTTAGGGCGTCTGTCAACTTAATAATAGCGGCGCAGGTGCGTTCAAAAACGCATGTACAAAAAAAAAAGCTTAATTTGTCGTGCTTTTGTCCCGGTGGTTAATGGCCGTTTCGATGGGAGAGGAGACTTCACTAGCTCGTTCGATTTCTGCCATCTTCGCTATATCTAATAATAGACGCATGTTGAATGAATGGATCCGTCTTCTTATACCAAAATTGTAGCGCATCGCAACTACAAAAATTGAAGACCATGTTGCTTTTTAAAAAAAAAAACCTTGGAAAGGCCATTTTGCCTAAAAAAAAAACTGAAGCAATTATCATAAAATTACACATTCTGAACCATGCGAACAGGCCAATGAAATGTGCGTGTCCTCCAGTGCCTTTTAAGTAGAGCCGACCTTGAAGAATTACATACATTATCATGAAGGTTAACACCCATGGCAACATGAGTTAATTAATTTAGTTGTCTACCTACTATATATTAATAGAGCTCAGCGGGCGTGTCTCGGAACGCAGGTAGCTCCAAGGTGTTTATTGCTTGGCGGAGCGGCAGCCCT